ATTTATTATGGGAATTGGCTCATATGATTATGGATGCCAAGATCGTTGGACCCCACGATCTGCTCTCTACCAGGAAAGCCAGTGGTGCAATTCAGTCCAAGTCGGAAGGCCTGAGAACAAGGGCAGAGTCCATGGTGTAAGTACCAGTCAGAGTCTGATTGAGATTTGAGAGGTAGGGTGCTGATGTCTGAGAGTAGGAGTTGGATGTTCTAGCTTAAGAGGAGGGAGAGAGAATTCCCCTCACTTTATCTGTTTGTTGTATTTGGGTCCTCAATGGGCTGGATGATCCCTGCCTTAGTCCGTTTTTGTGTTGCTATAACAGAATACTTGAGACTGGGTGATTTATAAAGAACAGAAATTTGTTCTCTTACGGTTCTGGAGGCTGGGACGTCCAAGATTAAAGCACTGGCATCTGGTGAGGCCTTTCTGCAACTTCTCATGGTAGAAGGCAAAAGGACAAGACAGAGATAAACTATGTGTCCTCACCTGGCAGAAGAGCAGAAGAGGGTGAACTCACTCTCACAGGTCTTTTTTTTTTTTTTTTTTGAGATGGAGTCTTGCTCTGTTGCCCAGGGTGGAGTACAGTGGTGCAATCTTGGCTCACTGCAACCTCTGCCTCCTGGGTTCAAGCAATTCTCCTGTCTCAGCCTTCAGGCTAGCTGGGATTACAGGTGCCCATCACCATGCCCACCTAATTTTTGTACTTTTAGTAGAGACAGGGTTTTACCCTGTTGGCCAGGCTGGTCTCAAACTCCTGACCTAAAGTGATCTGCCCACTTTGGCCTCCCAAAGTGCTGGGATTACAGGTGTGAGCTACCGCACACAGCCTCACAGGCCTTTTTTATAGTGGTATTAGTTCATTCATGAGGGCAGGGTCCTCACGACATAAACACCTCCCATTAAGCCCCACCTTCCAACACTATTGCATTGAGATTTTTTCCAACACGTTACTTTTGGGGAACACATTTAGACCATAGCAAAGCCTACCGCGTTGGTAAAGTGATCTTCTTTACTCAGTCTACTGATTCAAATGCTAATCTCTTCTAGAAACAACCTCACAGACAAATCCACAAATAATATTTACCAGCTATCTAGACATCCCTTAACCCAGTCAAGTTTACACATAAAATTTACCTTCATGCAGGGGAATCAGAATTCCTGGAACTCTGGATCCTGCAGGGAGCTGAGAGGACACTTGGGTTCTCCTTGTCTTGTTCTCCTTGGTGTGGCCTGGGCTGACCAATAAGAGCACTGTATTCTGAGAACAGACATGCAGGATTAGAACCTATAGATTTCCTTGATGGCCTTCACGATTCCATTTTTCATTTTCATCTTTCCTTTGACAGAAAGGAGTAGTCTGCATAGGGATGGCCAATGGAAACTAATCATTTCAAGTAAGCACTCCATGAGGTACTGGTCCATGATCAACCAGGCACCAGGTGGCTGCCAGAAGCATGCCTTCAGCATTATTCTCCTTCCTTAACAGGCTGATAACAGCCTCCTTGAGTCTGGCAAGTAACTGGGAAATGTTCTGCTCAGGATGTGCTTTCATCATCTGTACAACATGAAGGATGCTGTGTCATAACCCTTGATAATGCAGGATCCCCTCTTCCCTGGATCATAGAGTTCTGACTCAGGTTACAGGACTAGCAAACACCTGAGGACCTCTGCCTAGGGAGGACAAAATAACATAATCTGAGATCACTCTTTCCTTTTAAACATACAGAGTCCTCTCCTCCATCTAAAGGAAGGTTTGTGAATTAATAAATAGTTACAAATAATGTAGGAATGAAAAAATCTTTGTCCTGGGCTGGGAGAAATGTACTATAGCTGAGGGAAATTGCAATCCCACTCTGACTTTTACAATTACCAAATAAAGAAAAGGGTTTTTCAGTTAGGTGTTTACTGTTCTATATATTATAGATGGCTTTAAAATACAAGTGAAAGCTAAATTTAGCAAGTTTTTGAGGTCAGAAGGATCCAATAAGGAAGCGTACAAAAGGGCATGTGAGATTCTGCTTTGGATATTTGCATAAACAACAGGGAAGTGGCACTGAGTCTTAGGTCAGTGCTCTCCCCCAGAGTTAGTATATAAGGACCCCCCCAGGAGAAAGAGGCATCATATCTCACTCACCTCTCCTGAGTCCTCTTCTCACTTCACCTGAGACCTCTCTACTGACACCATGGGTTGCTGTGGTTGTGGTGGCTGCAGTGGTGGCTGCAGTGGTGGCTGTGGTGGTGGCTGTGGTGGCCGTGGTGGCTGTGGTGGTGGCTGTGGTGGTTGTGGTGGTGGCTGTGGTGGCTGTGGCAGCTGCACCACCTGCAGGTGCTACAGGGTGGGCTGCTGCTCCAGCTGCTGCCCCTGCTGCCGCGGCTGCTGTGGGGGCTGCTGCAGCACGCCCGTGATCTGCTGCTGCCGCCGCACCTGCAGCTCGTGTGGCTGTGGCTGTGGGAAGGGCTGTTGCCAGCAGAAGGGATGCTGCCAGCAAAAGTGCTGCTGCCAGAAGCAATGCTGCTGCTAGGCAGGCCCCGGCCTCTGTCCTGTGGCAGGATATGCTGGGGACTTTCCTTCACCCCATTCACCTGCTTTACCTGTCCTCTGGGTATTCTTGCACTTACGCTCTTGTGTAAGTTTGCTCCTGAATTCTGCGTTCTTGTATTTTCTGCTTCAGGTGTTTCCAGTCTTCCTTTATGAAAAGTTTCCTCTCTAATATCAAGCAGCCAACCAAAGGCATGAGGACAGCCTACCTCTTCATGAAGAGTCCACATCACTGAGCTCAGTCAAAGAAGATCATGATTCCCAACAGACTTTTCGACGTATATAATCATTTTATCCCCATTTGTGTGCCTTTCTCTGTTTCTTTTCTATCTTGTATTCTTATTTGTCAATAGCTACTTTCTAAACTTCCTAATAAAATAAAAATTTGTCATTTAAAGGTTTATCTTTGTGTTTATTTTGGTTTGAACATATCTCACATCCTAGAAAATCTTAACCTCTCTGAGAGTCTTTGGTGGATAGGCAGTGATAGTGGAGCAAGTTGAAGACCCTGAGAGTAGCTTCCTGCCTCTACTGTTTGTGCCCTTCAGTTACCAAACAGAATATTTGAAAGTCTGGATTCTCTCTATAGTTTGTATTCAATTTTGAGATGGCAGATTCCTTTAAAAATAGACAAGCTGGGCTGTGCTCAGTGGCTCACACCTGTAATCCCAGTACTTCGGGAGGCCGAGGAGGGCAGATCACTTGAGGTTGGGAGTTTAAGACCAACCTGGCCAACATGGCAAAACCCCATCCTACTAAAAATACAAAAAAATTAGCTGGGCATGGTGGCACACACCTGTAATCCCAGCTACTCATGAAGCTGAGGCAGGAGAATTGCTTGAACTCAGGAGACAGAGGTTGTGCCTAGCTGAGATTGTGCCACTGCACTCCAGCCTAGGAGACAAAGCGAAACTCCATCAAAAAAAAAAAAAAATTGACAAATTTCCTGAATGCATTCAAAATCCTGTTTTATTCACAAAGAACCAATTCAAACAAATTTTCAGAAACACATCTATTTGCAAGATGTAGGTGACTACATTTGCTTTAGATTTCCATCTGCTGGGGTCATTTACTCTGTGCCTGGAGGGCAGAGTTCCACCCTTTCTTAGCAGCCTAGTTTTTACCACCCGCTACCACACCATAAATTCAGCCAACAGTGCACATTTAGCGCTTTGGTATTAGCGGTTTCGCTTTTACATTTCCCTAACCACAAAATTAAAGCCATCAGGTTGTACTGGCTGAGTAGGCATGGATGAATATTCGATTTGGGATTTATCTTAGCTCTCCTGACTTTCTTGTATCCACTTTGGGCCTCACTTCTTGTTTTCAAGTCAATTGCTTTTTGCTTTTCTGTCTAAATTAATTTAACCATGATTGGAGTATTGTTAAGGCTTATGGTTTTGTTCTAATTCGTTTCAGTTATTACTTAATAATTTGAACTGTGATTTATGTTTTCATTCATTTCATTCATTTCTTTTTTTTTTTTTTCAATTCATAAGCCTAAGGGGCCTTGTGATGAGAATAATCTAATCTGTGTCCTTCTGCCAGACAAGTGAATCCATTTCTGGTAGAAAAACCATTTTTGTGTGTGTAGGGTTTTTTTTTTTATACCTAGAGAGAAAAGTAGACAATAATTAGATAATCCTCAATAATTATCATTCACTTGGAAGATATAAATTGAAAGGCAAATAATGTTTTATGGCTCAGACCATGAGTAGTCTTTAGAAGCATTAACAATTTTTAGAAGAAACTTCTTTCTGTTGACCAGTGCTCATCAACAGACTCCTAGACATAGGCTGGGCATGGTGGCTTGCACCTGTAATCCCAGCACTTTCGGAGGCTGAGGTAGGCAGATCACTTGAGGTCAAGAGTTTGAGACCAGCCTGGCCAACGTGGTAAAACTTCATCTCTACAAAAAATACAAAAATTAGCCAGGCATGGTGGCATATACCTATAATCCCAGCTACTTGGGAGGGTGAGGCACAAGAATTGCTTGAACCCGGGAGGTGGAGGTTGCAGAGAGCCAAGATGGCACCATTGCACTCCAGCCTGAGCAATGGAGCAAGATTCTGTCAGAGAGAGAGAGAGAGAGAGAGAGATTGAGAGAGAGAGAGAGATTGAGAGAGAGAGAGAGAGAGAAATTCCTAGATAAAAAGGCAGGTTTGGCAGAGTGTGGTGGCTCACGCCTGTAATCCCAACACTTTGGGAGGCCAAGGTGGGCAAATCACCTGAGGTTGGGAGTTTGACACCAGCCTGACCAACATGAAGAAAACCCATCTCTACTAAAAACACAAAATTAGCTGGGCATGGTGTATGCCTGTAATCCCAGCTACTTGGGAGGCTGAGGCAGGAGAGTCACTTGAACCTACAAGAGGGAGGTTGCAGTGAGCCTAGATCACAACATTGCACTCCAACCCGGGCAACAAGAGTGAAACTCCATCTCGGTAAATAAGTAAATGGATGAATACACATTTAAGGGGGTGAGACCAGTTCAGAGAGGGAACACACCGTGCTGTGGACTGCCTTTGAATGGGATGCATTGTGCACAAAGAATTATAATCCTAGGCAAATTGTGGTACTTGCCATGGTGTCACTGTCAGAGGTGGGAAGCTAGTCCCCCTGAAACCATCTAGAATGGCTTCAGAGCACTGGATCATGTGGCTTCTTGCTCCCTGTGGGCTTTTCATTCCATGCTCCCTCCCTCACAAGTGGTCTGCTTAGGGCAGTGTCGGGGAGAGTTTCAGGCTGAAGCTTGTGCAGCTGCGTGGCGGAGGTCCCAGCCCACAGGGCGAAGGTCAGCTCCCATGTCAGTACAGCAAGTTTCCTCATCCCTGGGTCCCGAGGCCCTACTTTCTCCCTGCTAGTATCCTCATTTGGTTTGCAAATCCCTGTAAGTCCTACCTATAAATTCACCGACAGTGGTCAGGCTCCATGGCTCACGCCTGTAATCCCAGTGCTTTGGGAGACCGAGGTGGGCAGATCACCTGAGGTCGGGAGTTAGTCTGACCAACATGGAGAAGCCCCGTCTCTACTAAAAATACAAAAATAGCTGGGCATGGTGGAGCATGCCTGTAATTCCAGCTACTTGGGAGACTGACGCAGGAGAATGGCTTGAACCCGTGAGGCGGAGGTTGCTGTGAGTGAGATCGTGCCATTGCACTCCGGTCTGGCCGACAAGAGCGAAACTCCATCTAGAAAGAAAGGAAAGAAGAAA